ATGGCTTGCCTGAATCCCATGCCTCGCAATTTGTCAATACCCGGTTGGTTTTTAGTGTTAATCCTCGTCCGCTCGTCTCCAAAATACATGCGAAGCGCTTTTGTGCCGCATCCTATTCACACAACTGCGCTGATTACTAGCTGCAATACTATGGAATTCTCCCCAGGGAGCTGAGTATGTGTTCCATATGTGTTTTATCCAATGACCGGGGTAGTAATGTGAAGCGCTTAGAGGCATTGTGCATGAAGCGCTATATAAGAGCGACATATTATTATTATTATTATTAGTATATTTTGTCAATATGATCGGATTTTCTCTATTGTTTCGTTTTAATTTGATTTTAATTTGTTTTGCAGTATATGGCCTCTTGTTGTTTTATTGGTTTGTATACCGGTACAATTTGTTTATTTACTGCTTACCGCTCATTAATTTTAATTTTATAATCGAAATGTGGTTCATTTTTTAATTTTGTATAAGCTTTATAGTTTCTGGGGAAACCTTCCATTTTGAACCTTAATGACTTTTGTTCTATTAATACTATTAGTTATAATTTAAATGTTTATCAAAAATCTTTGTATATTGGATTTTATTATAATAATATTATGATAATAATATATATGCTAATTGTTATACAGACAATATCTAAACAGACGGTATCTAAAAGAAGAAAGGGGTCTGATTAAAATTTGGAATTTACTTCAGAACCAGTAGATTTACTCTATATATTTCGAAGAAAAAATGAAGTTAATGTTTTTTTAAATGTATTTAAAATACATATTCCAGTCCCACATAGAATCACCATTTTCTTCTGCTTCTCTTGCTTTTTGCATTTCATGAGACTTTATGGCAACGAAGCATTTCACAAAGTCTTCACTAAATGCATCCCTGATGACCTCGTCCTGCAGAAATTCTTCGACGGCATCTTGCATGGATGTTGGTATTGTTGGTGTTTTCTCAGGAACATCTTGCAAAAGGTACGCGGATCCAGTGACGTTAGCTGGAAGGGGAAGCTTCTTCTTGATTCCATCTATCCCGGCGGCAACTGTGGCCTCTAAAACTAAATAGGGATTTGATCCAGCACTCCCCATACGATTTTCAATGTAAGAACCAAATTCACTATTGATCTTCACACGAACTGCGCATGTTCG